TATATATACAGACTTTTATTCTTTTTATTTTTTTATTTATTTATTTATTTTTTTATAATTCAGTCCACATTTTATATTGGTTCATTGGAAGTAAATAACTTAAATGTTCAACTTTTTTTTCTAGATTTTACCACCTATTAATTTTAATGTCTTTATAGTAATGTTATTTCTGCAGAATGAATTTTATATATTTTTGTAGAACGGTAATGAGTGCATTTCTACGTAATGGCGGTGTTGACCGTAAGGAGTATGTATATCAACCACTGCAACCTTCTGAGGAGATCATTGAGCTTCATGAAATCGATGATGATTTGTTTAATAATACTGACAAGAATAACCTACAGATTAAAGATGAAACCAATGAATCTGAAGGTACAATTATTGTAAAATGTGAATTTTAATGTAAAAAAAATTAATTTATAAATCCAGAAGGAAAGAGATGTCAGTTCTGTGTAATAAAACAATGTAATACATTATATCTGTGAGCACTAGAAAATAAAATTTAAACTTATAAATTATATCTGTCTTTTGAGACCCAAATTGATAAATTTACATAAGAATATACTATAATAATAATAAGTAAAGTTGAAATTATTAACAAATAGGCCTATGTGCATAAAAAGAAGCATATAGGATGTATGTGTTTTAAATTGAAGTACATTATTATCATTAATATAAAAGTTGTGAATTTAGTTTAAAAAATAAAAAAAACAATATTAGGAGAATGTGGCAGGTGATTCCAGACCTTCATAAGCAAAACTGGATTGACTAAGACAAGTATGTTTAAATGGAACAGCAATATTATCATCATATTCATGTTATAGTTGTGTCAAAAAGTTCCTCAAATAAATCCATAACTATATATTTTTTTATAGAAATCTTGTTGAAAAGTTAATTATTAACAATGAGTATTATATTATTCATCTGGTTTGTACAGTAGATACGATGCAAGAAATTTTCTATTTTAACAAACCAATTAATTTAAACTGACCTTTTACTGTACACGACCCTATTGTTAAGTGAACGCCACTTATTGGTGTGCGATTTGTGGGCACTCTGAAGATAATGAACATCAAAAACTGTCAGTAAAAGGTTGCGAGTTCAAAATTATTGGTTTGTTAAAATAGAAATGAATTTATTTAATTAACTTTGTCCTTTTAACTGTATGATGAATCATTGAAATTTGTTGTATACTCTATTTGTTATCATTTTATATGTTTAGAGAGTTTCACAGTTGAAGAGGCCATTAACCACTTAGGATTCGGTCCTTTCCAGATTCAGCTTATTGGACTTGTTGGCATGTGTTCGGTACGTTTGCCAAGTTTATACCAGGCAGCCATCAATTAAATCATAATTGTATTACCTACACACTTACCTTGTATCTATCTACAGTATATATAAATATAACACTACAAAATGCAGAAAAAAAAAACAGTGATATAAAGGAAAAGGAAATACTGTAATTGTAACAATTCATAAACAAAATATATGTAATAGGAGATTTAATTTAATTCCAGTTTTGACCAAAAAGGAATTCAGAATGGATGCAATTTCTATTCCGAAACTGATTGAACTCGGTGGTACTGAGTTAACTTATTTAATGTTTCCTTTCACAAAATTCTATTTTTGATTTTGATAACATTTGTTAGATCTGTTGATGCAGCAGTTGTTTTTGAGGCTTTTGACCTTGAGGTTGCATCTTCATAATACCTTGTGGTTAAGGCTTTATATATTACTTCAGCGTTGTTTACTGTTTCAAAAAAAGTCTAAATAAATTAGTTTACTTTGAAATCAGTTGATTTTGTGATTGTTGGGATTTGATGAACTGTAGTGTTTTAATGTTTTAATGATCGTCATCATACCACTTTTTTAGCGTCACCCTCATTAAATAAAGTTGAATAAAATAAATTTTAAAAAAGTAAAATTTTCAGATGGCCGATGCAATGGAAGTGATGATGTTGAGTATCATTGCTCCAGAATTACGGTGCGTCTGGAAGCTACCCCGTTGGCAAGAGGCGCTCATTACCACTGTTGTATTTGTCGGCCAGTTCTTTGGTGCTTCGCTTTGGGGACAGTTCTGCGATAAATTTGGACGTAAAAAAGTAAGTTTTGAAATTCTGTTGCTTAAGCATTACTTAAATCCATATGAAAAGCGCATTGAGGCTTTTTGCAAAGTGTGCTCAATCTAGATGGAACTATATTATTATTAAAAGCTGTACTGACCATTGTTTTGTATGGTTTGATAGCATGTGTGAGGGTATATTTAAGACAGCATTGCGCCCTCAGAGTGACCACATCAAATTACATTAAGATTAGGGACAAAGGGAGTGATAGTCAAGCCGTCCATCCGTAAACATCGATGTGCTATAATCCTCCGATGTCACTCACCCACTGTTACATTTATATTCATAAAACTACCTTAACTATATGGGGTTTGAGCCGCTATTTTAATCTCACTATTGTGGAAAGACTGTGCTGTTAACTTAACATTCATCTTTTAATTTGAATCTTTCTAATTTTTATCGTAAACTGATTTTACTTGATCGTAATTATTGCTTTAAACTATCGTGAATTAATTTAACATAGATTTGAGCTTCGTTTATATGCTTTCTGTAATTATTTAATTTGGTTTAAATAAGTTCTTTTAATCGGCATTGGCTTTTGAATCATAATACTGTATATATAACGGGTACATTCATATTTATATAATTATTCTGATAAGCATAATACAGTTTGTGACCTTGAAACCTTTGGAATAGATCATCTTAATTAAAGTCTAATAATTTGTTACATTTATCCAGTCTTCTCAGTCTGTCCAGCGTTTGAATCAGCATTTAGTTTTAATTCAGTCTTAATCGCTCGTCTCACATCTTTAACACTATTCAATTTCATTATATCCGTTGGACAAGTTTCGACGGTGACACATGTACTATTTTATTGTAGGGTTTGATAGCATGTACTATTTTATTGTAGGGTTTGATAGCATGTTCTATATGGATTTTCTACTACGGCCTTTTGAGTTCCATTGCTCCTAATTATGTTTGGTTTTTGTGTATGAGAATGTTGGCCGGTTTTGGCATAGCTGGCGGCAATCAAGGGTAAGTGTATTATTGTATATTTTAATTTGTTTCCTCTACAGGATCTTGTATTTTAGGCAAAAGGCCAAGGATATGCCAAGAAGCGAACTTAATCAGTTTTTTTAAGTGGCATATCTTTTCACAAGACAAACATAAACACAAGATGCTCTACATAAACTAAGTTCCATTCTGAGGCTTAGGGAGTGGAGTTGATTTGGTCTTGAGAAAAAAAATCTTGTTACTGTGACAGGAATTAAACCTAGGACTGAGGGATTGGAAGCATCTTAATCACCAAGCTACTAATCAATCAAAGTTAAACATATGAAGGGGCCATTGTCCAACATTCGTTAATGTTTGTGCTTTACAATCATTAACGAATGTTAATGTTTGTGCTTTACATTGTTTACATTGTATCAACAATACTGCTATCATTATCAATAATATCACCTCATTTCATTTTCATTCTGTTTGCCTTTTCTTTTCAGAGCCACATTGAATTCCGAATTTTTGCCGTCCAATGTCAGAGGAAAGTGTCTAGCCTTAATGGGGGTAAGGCATATGTTGAATGCCATAGTCGCACAAATATATGTTTTTTTCTGTTGTCGCACCTTTTCCCTAATGTTGCTGTACTATAACTATTGATGTTGATATTGTTGTTTGTTATTTTCACTACCAATAAAAAGACATTATTGGATATGCAAATTAGCAAACATATGTTTTACTGAATTAAAAATCTCAAGTGACTATTGTAGTAATTAATGAGTGTATATATGTTCAGCAATAGCGTGTAGCAATTGTATGGAAACCAAGCTTAAGTTACATGACAATGATGTATTATTTTTGTCTTCATCATTCTTTGCCAATGGCATTGCCCTTTTAGCCTTAGTTACGATGACAATGTCTTTTTTGTGTCTTTGCAGTCGTTCTTTGCCTTTAGCTCAAATGGCATTGCCCTTTCAGCCTTAGTTACGATGACAATGTCTTTTTTTTTTGTCTTTGCAGTCGTTCTTTGCCG